TGTTAAGCAGGTTCAGCTATGTGGATGAAAAGGGAAAATATATGTGAAGCTCCATATATAATATAGTTCCTTGAGAAATGTTGGTTCCGTTCCTCTTTGCTTTGACAGAAAACACCCCAGAGGTCCTGGAAAGCAGTTCTTCAAAGCCAACTGCCTTCACTTAAAACAAAACAAAACAAAACCCAGGTCTTAGGGGAGCAGCTAAGAATCATAAGTTGCGGTTGTGGTTGAAATGATATCTATGGCAAGAATGCCCATCACGTAGATGTGGTTATGTGTGCACGGGGGTGGGAGGTGTGGTGCTAGTGGTGCACAGGCACACATGGGCAATGACTTCCTGCTGACAGTATGACGCAAAGCACAGGAAATACCACCTTTAGAGTGTCTCATTTTCAAACCATAAAAGACTAAAATTATATATATGTATGCAGAATGGTGTTTCTTAAAAAGAAAAAGGAGTAGGGAGATAAGAAGAATCCATCCCGATGTCTGCTTCACCGCTGATCTGTGAAATGTCTGTAGCTGGTAGTTAGGGAAGCAAGCTGAATATGCATGTGCTTTAATGACTGGGCCCAGTACTTGTGGCAGCAGGCAGAGAAGTAGCACAAAACACAGCTATAAGGGCAACAGTGACCTAGGACAGTTATCTTCTAGCTGCCTCCTGAGACACCACAGTGGCTATTCCCTGGGTTCAGGTCCATGTTCAACCTTGAACAGGTAGAGTGATTTGGGAACTGAACATTTGCTTCCCCTGTATGACACTCATCTTTCTTCTTTCATGAAATCAGATTGGAGGTAACATATAGATTAAATCATTTCCAAAATGTCTCAAATGAACTTGGATGTGAACAATTTGAAGCCCTGGATATATTAGGAAAGGCAAACAGATTTCAGACTGAACGTGAAATCTCACCTACAGCCGTGCTGAAAAGGATTCGGAGGCAGCATCTGGTCTTAGTGGGCAACAGTGCTCTAGGGCATTAGTGATATCCTCTCATAGCTGTAGGAGGGTTATACTCCAAAGTCCATAATAAATTAGCATTTGAAAGATTGGTCTGATTTATAGTGGCACATATGCCTTTCTAATGATGTTTGCTTACGCTAATATTATAATCACATAATTTATGTTTCTAAAGCCACATACCAACCAGGAGGACTAGGAAATTGTAAAATCATGTTAGGGAAACAAAGTTGAGATTTTAAATTTGCAATTGATAATGCATTAAAAGGATAAAGGTCAATTTCTTTGAGGGCTAGGACCATGTTTTAATTACCATAGAATTCTCTTCGTATCATTGTCTAGAGAAGTTCCCTATGTTCAATGAAATTTCACTGCATTAGATAATTGAGGGTTTTGGGATGCCCGGGGGGTGGGGGGGCTCAGCAGTTGAGTGCCTGCCTTTGGCTCGGGTCGTGATCCCAGGATCCGGGATCGAGTCCCACATCGGGCTCCCTGCAAGGAGCCTGCTTCTCCCTCTGCCTATGTCTCTGCCTCTCTCTCTCTCTCTCTCTCTCTGTCTGTGTCTCTCATGAATAGATAAATCTTTAAAAAAAATAATTGAGAGTTTTAAGAGTAATTTCCTCCTAAGGAGTCAGACTACCAAGCATAGAATTCTGTCCTTTTTTTTAGAGGCAAAGGTGGAGGGGGGAATAAGGGAATTAAAATGTATCCATCACCTCTTACGTGCTAAGAAGATTAAGAATTATCTTACTTAATCCTGACTCTAATCCTTTGAGTTTGGTATTATGGGCATTCTCAGTCTCTGGGTTAAGGCTTGGAGAGGTTAAGTAACTTGTCCAATGTCCAAGTAACTTGATTAGTGGTGAGAAGAGGATTCAAACTCATTTCAGTTTTGACTCCACAGTTAAGTAGGGGACTTCTTCCCTATTCTTCTGAAGGAATAATACCAATGATTTTGACTCCAATTGAACATGAATTCATTGAACATGAATGTACTGTAATTCACTTTAAGCACTATTTATTATAGCTACTAATAATAATTCGTAAATAGACAGTGCTTCACAAATTAACAAATGATTAACAAATGGCAGCCCTGGACAAATTACAAGGGGCAAAAATACCACCATGGGGTACAGGGAATAGCACTGGACCAAGAGCTTTTCTTACTATGGCCCTGGCAGTGATTATCTCTGTGGCCCTGGGCTACTTATTTCCCCCTTTCTGGGCTTTATCAGTAAAGTGAATGATCCGGACAAAAAAATCTTTCTGGCGCTGTCAGGCTATATGGAAAGCAGATGGAAGAGTCAAAGACAAACAGCTGGAGGATGGCAAAGGGGCTGAAAGCAAAAGCCCATGGAATAGCATCTTTAGAGATCAGAGATCTAGTTCCACCAGCCCAGGAGCAGAACAGTCTCAGACCCACACCCACAACTCCCTTCAGTCCTAAATCAAAGAGGGGGTCAGAAAACAATTCTCTTTATATGAAGCAGGCCAGGCCATGGGCTGGGCGTCTTTCAGTGTACACAGGCTATGGGCCTCATGCTCATCTGTCACCTGCCACCCACCCACCTACCATACACCATCACTTCTCCCCAAGTCCTAGACCTATCTGTGGTCAACATCAGGTCCTTAATGCCTGACTAAAAACTCTCCAGAATGATGGTAGAACACAGGGCTTGACTCACACTTGATTTTCCGCCATCCCAAGACTTCCTGCTATCAGTTTGTAGAAGCAAAAGCTGCTAGGGCACCCTGAGAAACAGTAAACAGAAGGGGAGTCTGCAAACCCACCACTACTAAGGGACTCACTGCATTATTGCCGTGGCTACAGATGGGCTGGTACCAGAGGCTATATGCTCACACCCCTTATACTAAGCACAGTTCCAGTCAGAACTTTGCATTTTTGAGGATTTTTCCATCAGCCACTGCAGATGCTAGTGAAACACCTCCACTCCACTCACGGAAACACACAACAATGGTGAACACTCAGCAGCCTGCAGTCCCAGGAGCCAATGACATTTACAGAAAAGGGAGGACAAACCCCTTTTCCTAACCTGGCTGGATAGAGGATGTAGAATCGCAAACCACACATAACACCTGATAAATGGAGAAATAGAAGATAGTCAGCAATCTGGTATTCACAATTCCCATGTCCTGACACAGGAAGAGATATCCAGGGCCATCTTTGCTCCACTGCTTTCTTTCCAAATCTCCCCATCTTATCTTCTGAGAGGAGAAAGGATTCCCAATATGCTTTAAGAATCAACTAGTATTTTTTTCTGTGTTGCCCTCACTCCTTATTTTTAAAATGGGTGTCACAGTCCTGCCTCGCCAAATCTCAGGGTTGTTGTCAGGAAACATCGTATAACATTCACCAAAGGGCTTTATAAAGTGTAAATGGGTAAAGGATCAATGCTACCAAAAGGCTCTGAGGGAGGACTGGGGTAAATTTCCTGGGTTCCTGGATAAAATGCTCAAGCCCCCTCACCCCCCAGTTGCTGAGAATGAAGAACATTCCACCCCAAGTGCACAGAGCACTACAGGTGACTTGTAGGGAGGCATGTGACAAGAGTCCCATTCTCAAGCTCTCCTGTACCTGTCACCATCACAGCTCAATGTCATACCTCATTTCAAGACGGCCACCCCCTTCCCCATGGCCAGGCACGAGGACTGCCTCTCTGCTATCTTTTTTCTCAGAAAAAGGAGGTGGAGTTAGTGCATGAGTACCTGAAGACCAGAATCTCACTCTCCATCCTGACATCTATTGGTAGTAGAAGCTTGAGCAAGTCACCACCTACCCTGTCTCAGAGTCAATTTCCTCACACATCAACTAGGCATAATTATATCCCACCCTTAGCCCCTATCAACTGCTCAAGAGTGTCTGAGCTCAGAAAAATGCCCTTTGCAATCTGTTAATCACTGCCATTTGTGAATCATTTGTTAGTTTAAGCACTGTCTCTGTGAGCTATTATTAGTAGCCATAACCAGATGCTCTGGAGTGCTTGGAGTGAATTTCAGCATATTCACAAAGCATACATGTTCAATTGGGGTCAAAATATGGGAAATGGTGCAAATAAATCCATTATTCATGGTCCTGTGTCCTAGGAAACAAGAACATGGCTTATGCTCCTTCCAGATAACTCCTAGGTGAGGATTATGCAGTTAATACTTTACAATCAAGAAGCCTTTCACTGCCTTCAAAGCCCAAGATGACACAGGTAACAGGGTCTGGGCTCAAGTCCACTTCTTTGGCATCCTGCTATTATGCTCCTTCTACCTACCCTGCGGGTGAGTGGCAAGTGGTAGGAATGTTGACATGGACCATGTGGGTTCCTCTCAGCAAGAACAATGTGTCAATGTTGTCACTCCTTGTGAGACAGAAATGAAAAAATGGCTCAGTCAGAGCCAATTTCAATTGCTGCTGAAACCAATTCAAACATTTCTGAAGTATGCAGAAATGTGAGCTACTTCTCAATTTATTATTTTTTTAAATCTTAGGAATTAAAAAAATCTTCCAATTTAGTTAATGATTTTTTATTTATTTTTTTTAAGATTTATTTATTTATTTATTCAGAGAGAGTGAAAGAGAGGCAGAGACACAGGCAGAGAGAGAAGCACGCTCCATGCAGGGAGCCCGACATGGGACTCGATCCCGGGTCTCCAGGATCACACCCCAGGCTGCAGGCGGCACTAAACCGCTGTGCCACCGGGGCTGCCCCATGATTCATTTTTTAAAAGTCAATATAAATATGCATACATCCAAATATATGTATGTATGTGTTAGTATATACTTCATTTTTAATTCAGTATTTAACAAATTAAAGGGGTTTAGTTTATCAAGACTATTTTTGGTGGAGTCCTAAGAGATAAATTAAGAGACACTGGGAAGGAAAAAAAATCCCATTCATGAAGTAACCTAAAGCCTGTTAAGTCCAAGATCCTTGTCAGAGTTATCCCTTATGGTTCAGAAAAAAATGTGCCCCATCTTCTTATAGACTGTCCCCCTTCCCCGATGCCCAGGGACCTCCTGGCTCCTTACCTGACTCTCTCCTCTTCAGCTCTCTTCAGGGCAGCATCCCGCTGCAGAACCTTCATGATGGCTTCTTGCTCCTCTTCTGTCAGGAAGCTCAAGTCAATCATTTTGGAAATCATACACAAAAATAATAGCAACAGATCTGGCTTAAAATTCTCAAAGTGAAACTAGGACTGTAGCTTGAATGATTTAGAAATGTAAAAATTAAGTGAAATAATATCTTGTTCAGTTCTGCAGCAAAAGTCTGAGGTTGGCTCAGCAAAAGTTTTAGGTGGCTGATGGCAAAATCCTCAACGCCCTTTCCAGAAAGGTAAATGGTGATCTGTGGTACAATGTGGAGAAGAGGCTCTCAGAAGGATGCTGCATTCCTTGCCAGACAGGTCACTTGTTCCCACAGTGGCATTCCGACTCCCACTCTGGACCAGTCTTAGACACAGTTTATTCTCCTTGTGTCCAGGTCACCATCTCAAGGAGAGGCAGCAGCACCTGAGCATCTCGCGATACCTGGGGAATCACAAGATAGTAAACACCAGACAGTGTGAGGAAATTCCTATAAGCATTGCTCATTATTACAAGATTTAAAACGTGCCTGGGGAAAGAGAATGACCATGTGAGATGGTCTCTGAGATCAGGGAAACCAGTTCTGCCAGCTTCCTGAGCAAATGGGTCATGAAGCACGTTCTACTCAATTCCATACTGCCAATATGGAAAGCACGCAAAATGCCTCTCGATGTTCGACAACCCACTGAGGAAAGGGATGGCTCAGAAAAGGAGCTGGTGCTCTCTCTCCAAACTCACAGGATGCTAGGCTAAGTAGTCCCACTCAAGGTCAATAAGACCAGGAAGACACGTTGTCAAGTGATTATGGGTAAGAAGCTAAAAATAAAAATTGACAAATGCTCACGTCTCTGCGAGTAGCAGTGTTCACGGAAACGTTATCTGGGCTCTGTAATGACAGGTAATGAGCTGGCATCAGGGAAAGGCAGTGTGCACAAGAGGAGGAACTGTTAGTCTTTATCCAGTCCCACCTCTAACCTTTGCTGGGTCTAGAGCAACTCACCACACTTGCTCCCTTCACGTCTGAGGACAAAGAACACTTACTCGTGTGTATATAAACTGGGGAAAGGAAGAGGCATAATTTCAACCTCCTCCATCCAAAGTGAGAATTTTAAGTAGGACTTTGGGCAAGAATCCTATTTGCTTTGAGGCAACTCCACCCCATGTGCAATGAGAAGGTGTCACAAAGAATTTCACAGCTGTTTGGGACTTTAGAAGTCACCTACTCCAGGATTGGGGCCCTTTAACACAGTGCTACACATACAGTTGACACCAAAAACCAGGGATCCGGTAAGTTTTTTTTGTTTTTTAATATTTAATTAATTAATTAATTTAAGAGAGAGAAAGAGACGGTGAGTGAGCATGCGCAGGGGAGGGGGTGGAGATAGGGGGGAAGCAGACTCCTCGCTGAGCAGGGAGTTCAACGCGGGGCTCAATCCCAGGACCCGAGATCATGACCTGAGCTGAAGGCAGATGGTTAACCGACAGAGCCACCCAGGTGCCCCAAAGGTGCTCAGTAAGTTTTAAAGCAGTCTCACTGAAGAATAAAACAGAGTGTGTATACTATTGAGTACTTTTTATGAATAAATTCTTTGATTTGGCAAAACAGAACCACCCTGAAGTGCCCCTCTGCCATGTTAGCAAGTGACCCGCCACTTGGAGGCTCCGTTTTCTCTTTTGCCCTTATTTGTCAGTGGGATGTCCCTTACGGTTGTAAAGACTAAGTGAAATAATGAATATAAAACAGCACATATCTTGCATCCTCTAGCTACTAAAATAGCTACTAAAAATATAGTCTAGCTTCCTTTCTGAGTTCACACTTTTGTCCTGTCCCTCCAAATAAGAGTATACTTTGTTATACAGTTTCCTTTTCTCTTTTGTATTATGTTTCCTTCTGATCTCCCCCATGAAGTATGGACTTCATGGACAGGTACTCTGATGACCTTTGTTTTATATTCCTGTAGCTCTCTGCATATGGTTCACGGTGACTACTCAAATAAATATTGTCACTACTTTATTCTCTCTTTTTAAAATTTGCATGCATTTGTATAGGTTGGTGCCTGTTTGTTCATCTTGGAAAATATTCATCCCTCAAGATGAAAGTTACCACCTCCAAGGAAGCCTTCCCTAACTACCTCAGCTAGAGTTCAAAGTAGATTCACTTATTGCTCCTAACTCTTCACTTCCTCCCTGAAACAACTAGGCAACCATGTTGCCACAAGAGTGAGCAGAGTATTCATCCCTACCTTCCTGTTGTTGGGCTTGACCTGTGACTTTGGTCAATGGAATGTGACAAATGTGATACAAGCATGGGCCTGTGTGGTTTGGCTTGGCTTCTTACACTACTGCCATGGGCTACAAGAAGAACCTGCCCTAGGGAGCTACTGCCTTTCCAGTGTGGGTCCCAGAAAAGGAGATATAGTGTCAGACCAGAACCTGAGCCACCTGAAGTAAGGCCACCCCAGCTGACCTGGAGATTATGGAAAGAAATACATATTTGTTGTTGAAAGCCACTGAGGTTTGTGGCTGTTCTACAATACTTCTGTAGCAAGAGTCTAACACAAAAACTTTCTTCTCCATATCTATACCACCACTATAATTATTTATCTTCCTTTAGTCATTACCATTTGACTATAAGTCTCTGAACGTGAATAAGTAGGTGAGTAAATGAATGAAACTAACCCAAATATACAAGTTCACTAGGGGACAGCTATCTATTCTTTTATGCAGAATAGCTTCTTTCATGCATACTAATTTTCTTAGATCTCAGAGGCTGGTAAGGAAATTAATTCAGGCCACATTTGGAGAACCATGTACACTGCCATATGGTTGAGTGAGAGACATTTTTTAAATTCAATGAGTGATAGACAGGAAGAGAACAAAGGACATAAACAACTCAAGTTGTCCAGCAGTGGTAACTGGCAGCATTGCTAAGGGAGGAAATGCTGGTTTCCACACCTTCATGAAGAACTACAAGCTAACCAGTGCTTCTGCATCAGAGCTTCTAAGGGTTAAACATTTCTTCTAAAAATTAGTGAGACAAAGGGCAATATCTTCATTTTACAGGGAAAGGAGTGAAGCTGGAATCTCTGACTACTAATTGGGTCAGACTGCAACAGAGCCCTTAGATGGCAATCAAGACTCTTCAATACCAGGTACTTTCCCAATTCCCAATACTCTGGATGTTATCTACCATGGGAGGTAATCGAACATTTCATTCATTCATTCAACAAACATTTATTGAGAGCCTATTATGTGCCTGGCACTGTTCTAAGCACTAGAGATACAGTGATAAATAAGACAAAAAAAAACTTCCTGTCCTTACGGAGCCTACATGACACTTAGCGGAGATATCAGACTAAATAATAATTTCAAAAACGCCTAAATAATTAGATTATGTAACTTGCCAGAAGGTGATAATAGAGCAGAGAAGGGAAGGGGGTAGTTCGAGTTTTAAAGAGAGTTGTTAGGGTTGGTTTTGTTGAGAAAACGACATTTAAACAAAAACTTGACAGAGGTGAGGAAACAAGCTACACTGGTATCAGAGGGTCCTGAAGTAGAAGTCTGTCTGGCATGTTCAAAGAACATCAAAGAAGTCAGTGCTAGAACACCAGAGTGTGCCAGGTGGTGAATAGGACAGGGCCAGTCAGAAAGAAGTAGGTTTCATGAGGGCTATATGATTTCTGACTGTTTCTCTGAAATGGAGCACCATTAAGGAAAATCAGAAAAAAAGTAAATATTTACTGGGTACCTCCTACACTCCTGGCACTTAACATAGCTCACAGGATCCTCAAAAAGGTCTGAGGAAGTATTTTATAGTCTGTGTTTTTCAAAAAGGAGAGTAGGGCTCATGGAGGTTTTTGTCACCATGCTTGTGTGGTTGGGCTGTTATTTGCCAGTAACTTTTTTTTTTTTTTTTAAGATTTTATTTATCTGAGAGTGAGGATGAGAGAGCAAGACAGAAAGCATATCGAGCACAAGCAGGAAGGGGGCAGAGGAGAGGGAGAAGCAGACTCCCTGCTGAGAAGAGCTCTATCCCAGAACCCCAGGATCATGACCTGAGCTGAAGCAGACCTTTAACAGACTGAGCCACCCAGGAGCCCCTTACCAGTACCTTTATCAGATTAAGCCACCCCAATGCTGACCTCTCTAATTCTCCCCAACACAGATTCCTCAAACTGGGAAGCAGAACAAAATTCTTCTGACTTTGGGCCCTCGTTCTCTGTTTAAGCATAGAAAAACTACTGGCCCATAGTGGGCAGTCAGCAACAGGGGCAATTTCAATGTAAAAACGGAGAGGGATAAATTTAGGCAATGGGGATTACGATGTGTTCCTAGAAGGAGTAGCCACCAGGGTGAGCAAAAAAAAGTTCTCCTAAACTTCAGCCTCATCCTGATCATGCTGCTGAATGACTTTTCTAAAAGTCAGATCTAACTGAGCCATACTCTTAGGTTTAAAACCCTTCACAACTTCCCATTGCCCAAAGCTCAAACTCCTTACTGTGGCCTGTGGGACTCACGTGAACTAGTACCAGCTTTCTTCCCCAAGTACTTTGCTGAAGGTCTGCCCCACACAACTTTTCAGTTACTTTTGTCCTCAGGTCTTTGTATATGCTATTCCTTCTTCTTGGAATACCTTCCCTGGGCTAATAGCCCTTGAATCTCAAGTTAGATGTCACGTAATGCACAGAGGCTGTCCCTAACCTCTCCAGGCTGAGTTAGGCATCCCTCTGGTGTGTTCCATTAGCACCTGACTTTCTGAGTCAGGATATTCGTCATACCATCTCAGATTCCTATCGACTCATGTTTATCCTCCATTCATTTATGAGCAAGGCCTGGGTATCTGAGTGCTTGGTGACCCCAGCATCTGCCACTGTGCCTTGCATCTACTAGGCACTCATATATTTAATACATGAATACAGATGGGAGAGGACTGAGCTTCCACTTTTTCCATAAGGTGAAGCTGGCTCTAGGACTTGAAAAACCAGGTCCGTATTATTTAATGAGTTTCAGCTCCAGGTCCTTCACCTGACCGTGTAGTTTGAATAAATCACACGACTTTCCCAGGTCTCAGTTTTCTTATCTATGTGATGGGTGTATGTACTCCTACTTTCCCTTTCTTAAAGAGATTATGGAGAAGCTCTGGTGAAAAGGCAGGAGACTGTTGAGAACAAATCAGGAGTGAGCAGTACTGGAAGCAGCAGCATGAAAGGGAAGCTTACAGGCTCCAAATGCAGACCACAGTTTTCCATGTGTCAGCCCTCCTATGCCACATCTACAAAAGCCAATACACTTCTCCTTGTCAAGTGTCCAAAGTTAAGCTAGAAAGGAAAATCAAGGCCCCAAACAGTGGGTGCTTGCTGGTTATCACAACTAGGAGGAGAGCTAGATTTACAGGCCTAATCCCAATCATTTTGCCTGACCAAACCCAGGTGAGAGCCTGAAGG